GTCCTTTGTTTTCCAGTTGAAAACAACCTCTTTTTCGGCGTCGCTACGGCCGCTCCGTGTAGGAGAAGTACTAGAGGTGCTGTTTTGGAACCCGGATTTGCGTGTGGTTTTTAATTGTGTGTTTTTTTGGAATATGAACCGAAGGAGAGATGGTCCTTAGAGGGGACGTAGTAGGTGTGCGAACGCCGTGAAGAAGCTGTAGGATCGCTGTTTTGATGGAAGGGCCCGTCAATTGCAGGTCCAGCCACGCGGAGAAGGCTGCAGTGCGACGGTCCCATTCAACTGTTGCCAAAGCAGCGCGGCAACGGGGAGCGTGAAGATGATCCTCAAAATCGCCACAGCGTGGGCAAGCTGCCGATGTCTCCAAACCCCATAGAACTTTAAATTTACCTGTGCCACACATGCCCACACAATGTTTAGTAGACCACCTTTGTAGTCCTGCAGGGAGGGAACGCATGGCTCGGCCAAGTGTGTCCCAGGCGATCTTAGACTCGGCTGCGGCCGAGATAGTACCTTTGTCCCTCCAGCGCGAGCGTAGGGCGGGAAGGGTCACACACTCTTGGATGAACTGAGGATCAAGGCGTGACTGTTTGGTGTCCGCCACGTACAATGCCGCAAGTTCAGTGAAGAAACGAGGATTGGGGGCTATGAGATGATTGGCCGTCTCAAGTTCCTTACGGTACTCCACCGCCATTCCATCCATCTCAAGGTTTCGTTTCTCCCACCAAGAAAGTTCGTCAAAGAGATTGGACTTGTCAAGATGTCCATACACGTGCTGGGGCGCCCAATCCACCGAGGACCGAAGGATAGCTTCCCGAATGGACGACACCAAGTCAAACTGGGCATCAGTTGGAGACAGTGGGCGATCTTCAAAAGCCATCTCAATGGCAGAGAGACCATCGCAAGCAATCCGCACCTTGGGGCACGTCAAAAGATTTGGGAACCATTGCTTAAGGAGCCAATCAACCGCCATTATACCGGCCAACAGACCAATGAGTTTGCTGCGGTATGGGCTCTGATCCTGGGGCAAACCGGGGGTCTGACACCGGATGATGATTCGATTGCACCCTCCCTGCTTCGCCAAGAGTTGAACCGCCGCGGTTTCTAACTCGTTCTTGAAGGATCCATCGCTGATCACGCGCAGGTGACCTTCCAACAGAGCATCAGCTAAGGTGGCTTCATCACCGTGAACCGATCTCATCTGGAACCCACCCAAAATAGTCCGTGCAAAGCTCGGCAGCCGTCTGCCACGCTTGAAGGATGGATGGGCTGTTGGGAGGGGACGGTTCAGAGGCACGGCCAGTACCTGTAAGAAGAACACTGTAAGATCCAGTGATGGGGCGAACCGTAGCGCGAAGAACGTCAGAGGGAAGCGGTGCGGTCCACCATGGGCAGGAAGGATGTGACGGCTCTGGTGCGTAGCGACGTGACGTGGTGTAAGAACCCTCAGGAGAAAAATGTTTCCAGGTTGCCCCATGGCGGTGGAAAAGGCCTGTAGTGGGTGACAGCAACCAATTCCAGTCCTCCAGAGGATCAGTCCAGGGCCCTAAAGGCTGTTGTAGTGGGTGATGTGGCCCGTTGGAGGCAAGCAGGGCTTGAGACAAGGTGGTCTGCCACAGGTCCCAGTGTTGGCGGGCTGGGCGAACGGTCCTTGGTCATTGGTATGGCGAGCGGCAGCACTCATCCCTGAGCCCGTTCCACGCGGAACGACGAATAAACCTGCCATCAGCAGTCACAATGTCAGACACTGTGCAGACCTGGAGGAACATTCGACACCAATTGAGCCATAAAAGTTCCTCTTGTTCAACCTCCAAGTTGATGAAGAGATCCATGAGAAGGGAGTCGTCCGTACAGCGATGGGAGAGAACGGGAGAGTCACAGGCGACATAGATGTCCAGACCCTCGAGCTCATGCCATACTCGTTTCATCCACATGTCTGAAGCTAAGATCGCCGTATTGATGTAGACTTGTTGCAAGAGTCCAAAGGATGTCCCCGTTTCAAGTTGATGGGCTTGGAAGTTGGCCTCCATATAGTCACCAGTTTTGGTCCTGTTGGCCATATGTCGGAGCAACATCTCAATATGCTTAAACACTTGACAACCAAACGGATGTGGCAGTCCAAGACCCTGGTAGGGCAGCGGAGCGAATACGACATCCTGAGGGAAATTACGACAGACACCTGCCTTCGGAAGGCATACTTGAAGTACTGGAGACATAATGTCTGTCCATTGCTGGGCATTCAGGGTGGTTAGCGCCATAGGATACTCCAATTTCTTCATGATGGTCGACCTGATGAGGGGGAGGACGTCATGTTTGTGAAGAAGGTTGGGTCGAAGCTGTTCTGCCCAATCCTTGGCTTTAGCAATCATCTGAACCTCGTGAGCCTTAAGGTTTTCCAAAGGAGCAAGCATAACTCCCAAAGTGCGTTCCGAGTCATCTGGTTCAAGACGACGCAGGGATTCAGTAGCTCCTGATAGACCTTGAATTTGGAGTTCAAAGTCGGGGGCAACTGCTTTTTTCCCACGGAATTTCCATTTGCCTGTGCGGGAGTCCCAATCGAAGTTGATGAGCCACCAAAAGGACTTCTCAGGGTTAATCGCACCTCCAGTAGCTCGGATACCCCCCGCCCACAAGGTAGCTGCTGCCTGCACGGATGCGCATATAGCTTCACCCGAGTGATGGACTGTATTGCCAGCCTCAATGACGTCAGTGTCGTCAACAAAGCAAAAGCATTGAGCGGTGACCAATTGTGACTCCAGAGCTGAGAGGCACTCAAAGCCGTAACCCATCGCTTGCATCATGGTTATGAGAACAGAGCTCACCGAGATCCATATGGGAGGACCTGCTCCATTACCCTGGCCATATCCTTGAAAGGGGATAGCAGAAGGAGGCTGGAAGCTACTATCGGAATCGCCAAAGCCTGTCCGCACCCGATGCGTTGCTGACGAGAGCATGTTGAACATGGAAGATAAGACTCTCCATGTCAGCCCAAACCGGAGCATCGCAATGATTGCCACCCAATGAACAATACGATCAAAGCAGGATTTGGCATCATTAGAGATCCACCCAGCCGCGCGTCGTTGGAGAATCAACAGGTCCCAGACCAGACGTTTGGACAGGGCCAGATCGATAGCTTGATGGCGTTTCCGAGAACCACACTGACCGTCCGGAATCAAGGAGTGTTCCTCGGCATATCGCATGACCGCGTGACCCGCCTTTTTGTTGTTCGCCTGTGCCTCCGAATTCATTAACTGAATAGTGCGCATTTTCGACAGCCGGAAGTCACCTGCCTTTTTCTCAATTGCAAAATTCATCAAGTTCTGCCAATTTGAGGGGACGAATCCCGTTGCCAACGGAAAATTGCAAAAAAGGGCACTGCAATAGGCAATAACTGGTGACTGGGCCGCTGCCTTGAAGTGTCCGCTGTGCAACCCATGAGGTTCAGAACCCTTGTCCTCTGGGTTCCGAGACCAGAAGTACACGTGATCAGAAGTCGTAACCTCAAGGTGTACAGGTAAGTGATCCTTGTGAAATTGGCAATGTGAAAGAAAGGCCGTAGTAGCGGGGTCGAGAAGGTCAGGCAGGGAGTAGTGTCCTTCCAATAGTGCAATGGAATTGGATTCAGCCTGAGCCCCGGTGAATGCTGTATACAAGGGTTCCGCCATAGGTGGAGTTGTATATGGAGCACGCGTCTGGTCGTACCGTGCCGCATTTTCTTGCATGCAACCTTCTTCAACCAGAGCACGATCAGTGATAGTACGCAGCCGTGTAGTGCCATCTGGTAACTTTTCTTCAATCTGAATAGCCCGTAAACCCCCGGTAGATCCCTTTTGTTGGGCGCGACGACGGCGTCTCGCCTCCTCTTGTTGCTTCATTTGTCGTAACCAAAGGAATCTATTGTGGGCCTTCTGGGATTTCCATTTCTTCTTCTTTGCATCCTTTGTATGAGCCGTAAGAAAGTCCCGCCTCAATTGGGTTGCCTGATGTTTGGCTTGCTTATAAGCCCGACGTTCAGCTACCAATGCCTCTTCCAATTCATCAGTTGTCCTCGTCCATGCGTCGCGTAGCCTTGTCTTTTTCATCAGGCGCTGGACCTTGCGTGAGCTCACCCTGCAGCGTTTACGGCCTTTAAGGAGTAGCTTCCAGAGACTCAATCGATCCCAGAAGCCCTGCAATTTTGGAGACCAAGGAACCTTGCCAGATGAGGTAGTGCGACAATTGTCTTCAGCCTGCCGCCGTATCATATACATCTGCCTGTGAAGGCAGTTATATTTGCGTGCCAGCGGGAGTGACATCTGTCGCTCATTGGATTCAATACGCTGATTTAGCTTGGTAAGACGGGAAGGGATGTCATACTCCTCGTAACCCAAGTGGACCAGTTGTAGATAGCGTCTAACCGACCGCTTATCCAAAAGGGTTAGTTTGCGAGGTTGAAAGGTAGACTCCTGGGGTTTAAAACTGCCCAAAGCTGTGTTCAAGTCGATATCGATCCATAGAGCCCGGTGGTCTGCCTCAACAAACTCGCCGAACGCGTAGTAGCCACCAGCAAGAACCGGAACACCCGAAGTGGTAAAGATCCCATCAATGGGAACGTTGCTTTGATTTTGTTGATGGGTAGCGGTTGGGGGATGCCTTTTCAAAATCGCTTCCTCCATTCCGCACTCATGGAACCGCTGCCGTATGGAGTCCGGGGAGTTAACCGAAAGGTCTTTGTTAGCATCGATCCCCAGCAAAACTTCGCAACCCTCGTCCCTCCACTTTTGAATTTGTTTGCACAAGTCATTGACAAATGCTTTGCGCGGATCAACCTTACGTTTTATAGAGTTAAAGTAGAGACGTTGTTGGGCCTTACGTTTTATAGAGTTAAAGTAGAGACGTTGTTGGGCCCACACGGTCGATTCCCCAGTACCTTCTCTGTTTGGCCTATATGCCAAGACAACAACTAGATCACGTGAAATCGGCCGTCGGACCGCCTCACCTACGTCGATCACCGAGCTGGAGTGATCATCGCCCCCCAACGCCTTCAGCTTCTTCCCTTGAAGACGAACATAGCCCATCGTCCTAGCCCCGTTGAATCGCTACCTGATTCTTTAGCTTGGTGCGAGACCTGACTAAGTACTGTCGCGATGCATCCTCCCCATTGAAAAGCTGTAGTTGCCGAAGATCGTGACTGCTGTTTATTATAAGCGACAGCCAAATAAAAACCTTTGTGCTTTGCCTTCATCGTAGCTTGACGCATCCTATCGTTCCACCCATGACCCTCTGGGATAGAGGGCCAAAACGTTTTGGCCTCCGCCAACAACGCTATTCCCACTCGCTCATCTTGCAGCCAGGAGTTGATCTGCCGCTGTTTCACATGATCACCTTCCTCCGGAACACCGTTAACGTTCTGGAAGGTGACGCGAGTAGCTAGTGAAGAGCGACAGCGATGGTCGTCGCCAAGGCAGTCTCCTGGTGGAAGAGAGCGTAAATATTCGTCAAGTGAAGCGTGGGAAACAACACTTGACGGGCCACTAATTCGAGATCTTCTGCCTGCACGCCGTGACCTAGCGGCAGACGACCTGGGGCCTCTCATGGCCCTGCCGCGGAGCGAGGTGCTCCGCGGCCGACCAAAGAAGGCAACTTAGCAGATCTGCTTGTACCGGATTTGCTTGATGGAGAAGGGAGAAAGAATGGGTGTACGCCTCCCGGAGATGCCGCTGTCAGAGATGAGAGGCTCTCGTCCTGGGACACGGCTGTAGTAGTATCGCCCTCCATCTGAGTTGTGTCCACGTGAACCTGAGACTTTTTCCGGGAGACCGCTGCTTCGGCTGCTGAAAGTGAACAGACGGGCTGGTGCGAGTTGACTTAGTGGGCGGCTTAAGACCAGCCGTAGACCTGTCAACGCTCCTCTTAACCGTGGAGGTATCCTTGCTTTTCCTCTTTTTTGGTGGCGTAGTAAATTCGGACCGATCTGGAGATACCTCATTGTTTTGAGCAGGTGGTTGCGAGTCGATTGCCAAGTGGTGAGCTGTTTGACGTTGAAGAGCTTCAAGTTGGGCTTGGAGAGCTGCAGTCGCGGCCTTCTGCTGGGCCAGGGCCTGATCTTTAGCCGCCAAGGCGTTGTCACGAGGTTCAATTTCCACAAAGGCCTCCTCCAGTTGTTGTTCACGTTCGTGCATTTCATCAAGCATCCCGGTGACCGTTTGTCCATCGTCAATATCCTTGGCGTTCGCCATATCCATGTCGATCGAGAGTTGTCCTTGGTGAACATCGGTGGTATCTTCGATCACATCATCCAAAAACTCCAGAGCTTCTTCCACCTTGTTTGACTGATCGGAGGCCTGAATAGCGCGTAGTGTATTGGTGCACCATACCAAAATCTTACGACGAGTCGCCTGGATTTCTGATTTGGGAATCCATTTGCCCAAGACTCGATCAGCTTGCGTATCGGTAAGTTCGCACAGGTGATGAATCAAGAACCTTTTAACATGTTTTAAACAATGTGGACTAGTCACTCCAGGAGACCGTTTGTCGTACTTTGCTTGTCCCGTGTACGGAATAGAAACCCAATCCATCTTGATAATAATAGGTACTTCGAAATCAAATAGTCTCATCAGCTCCTTTGCATAAGCTGAGAAGTTAACTTCTGCAGGAATAAACGAGCATGATCCGATCTTCACAATTTCTCCATACTGCAACGGAGAAGGGTAGCACCCAGCGCCTCTACCCAATTGACGTAGTCCAGTATGAAGGTAGTCTTGGACGGCCTCGACAGAAGCCTCAGAAGAAAAGCCGACGCAAAGGCGTGTGCGTAGTTTCTTCTCGCCCGGCTTGCTGTTGGTTGCCGCGTAAGGACCGTTACCATATTCCATATCACAGTAAGTCAACAAGGTGCGATAAGTCGGAAGGCGATTACGTAAATCTACTGAGTTTCGAATCCAAAGATTCTGTTGTTTATATGTGGTATCAGAGATCGGAAGGAGCTTTAATTCATGAGGGGAATTGTTGATTGCTTCCTCCATAGAATTCAGAACTGTTGACAAGAGCGCAGCCGCCACAGTTCCTGAATCCGACCCTTGATAGTCCACAGAGAAAGTAGTTTCGAAGATGTGACACTTGCCTGGTACCCCTTCCATACTCACCTGAATGAGGTTAGAAATCCGTTCGGCAAGTGTTGGTGGACGTTGAACGCGAGGAGGGGTTGTTTCCGAGGGCTCCATAAGGATCCCTGTACCTGCTGAGTCTTGTGTTGCTGTGAGGTTGTGGGAAGTCAACGGTGGAGTGTTGTCGTCCATGGCCTCATCATGCGTATTCGTCCCATCGCTACTGACCCATTCATCATCGTCATCTTCCTCCATTGCGTCGTCCACGATGGTCCTTCTGTCTTCAGTGTCATCGGCATCATTGTCTTCATCTTCATCCGATGACTCGGGCTCCTTGGAGGGATTCTTTTGCACCGCCACCACTTTAACCTCGTCGAACTCTTGAGTTCCACTACTGTCGGACGATATTTCGTCACTTTGTAGAGATGCAAAGCGATTTGAGTTTTGCGCCTGGTCCCCCACAGATCCGTCGGAATCTCGTTGAACATCCGTGTCTGGCTTGTCAATAGAATTCATTGGATCGTATATTTTTTGAATACGAGGCGGATCCGGTGCCTTCACTAGTTCTTGGTTTGCAGGGCTTTGCTGGACTCATCAGTTCTCCTTTGTTTGATTGCGTCGACAATTGCGGATGGCGGGTCGTCGTAATACTCCAACAGAAACTCATTAATCCATGGGTAGTCAAACAATTCGGAGCAAATTAACCAAAAGCCCACCAAGGGATGCTCCAAGCGTAGACGTGGATTGTTCCATTCACCTGAAAAGAAATCATGGTTGTCATCCGGTTTATCTTCAAACTCATCAATACCGAAAAAGGAAAACGGATTTTGTAAAGAAATCCGCATTGCCAAGATGCGTAAAGACCAAATTTCTTCAGATGGATTCACTTCCATCGTTTCGGTGTCAAATGCGACAATGAGATACTTAGTCAATTGACTGTTATCCAAGTTCATCGATGTGAAAATGCGGGCGAAACGATCTTCACAAGTTGCTGTCCCTGTATTGTCCTTAAATGGATTGTCATACCGGAGGCAAGGTTGGTTCCAAGCGCCAGGAAAACGTTCTTCCCACGCCATAAAAAGCGCGTTACCCGTATGGAAAGGGTCATGTCGTTCCAATGCTTCGTCGACAGCATCTCCCAAATATAAATTCTGCATCCACCACTCCAACAAGTTTGGAACAATACTATCCTAATGCTCACTCCTCCGTGCTTCTCGTTCGGCAATTCGTTTTGCCTCAATCTCATCAGCCAAGCGTTACACTGCATTGTCATCAGTAACACGCTTCTCTTCAGTCTGGGTTTCCGACACCAGCTTAGAATCGATGGGATCCCTGTCTTTAGGCTGCTCTAGGTCAATTTCAACTCGTTTCTTGACGGACTTTTTAGCCCCAGAGGTCGTTTTCATCTTAGACACGCCCGACTTTTTTGTCTTCGCCGAGGATGCCTTCGCGGTGATAGATTTGCCCATGGTGCGCCGGTGTTGAATGGTTGGCTTGGTGATAAATTCAAAGTTTTCTACGAAAATTCAGTACTAGCGCTACGCAAGGCAGACTGGTTGGTTCTGCCGGAATGCGTGTTGTTTTGTTTCTGAAATAATTTTTTCTATAGATGCGTCAGGTCCAAAGATTGCTTCGGCATGGTTGATTGCTTCACGGTACGTCCGCCACTCGTCAGACCCTATTATGGCGGAAGACCCAGGTTCTAAAATCACCCACAGACCTAAAATAAAAATTTTCTCCATACAAAAGTCTTAGCTTAGGTCCTTGTCTTACATCCTATTGGGTGGGGTCATCATGATTGTGCTCTAGACATTCACTGCAGTCAAGAAGGTAATTGATGCTTTGGACAGCAATTCAGATCATTGGTTGTTTTGGTGCCTTATGAGTACAGTGT